TTTTTGTTCGAAAAAATTTAGCCTTTGATGGAGAAAATGCAATTTTAAGTACCAACGGGCTAATTCTAATGGTAATTTTGTAATTCAGTTTTCTCAGCTTTGGAAGGAGCTAGAACAAAAATTTTTTATCATTAAATAGGGAATTGTTTATACTATATACACCACTATTCAAAACAAAAAAATTCGCACCTACGATTTTTTCAGAAAACGCCGCCTAAATGCCCACTGTGCTGGCGTAATTTGGATGGATATTGACTAGGTTATAAATTTTTTAATTTTACTCAAAAATAGGCAAAAGGAACTGATTGCTTTGCATTTTGGAATCGGTAATAACTTATTATCGAGCGAAAGATATGTCAAAACATTTAATATTACTTTTGAATTCAGTTCCTGTTACTTTTCTACATGCAAGGCATCGTAGCTCAAGTACAACAGAAGATTTACAGTATATAGTATTTCAGAATACTTGCTGGTTTGAGAGTTTTTCCTAATCGTTTCTTTCTGTTTCCCGTTTTATGACGCTGCCTCCTTTGACGAGTATAACTTCTCAGCGAATCTTTATCTTTGGTTATGAACTAGTCTACCACATTTGCTCTTAATATGAGAGATGAACAAACACTGTCTGAGTGACATTCTGAAATAATGAATCTTAACCACATATCTGATTCTCCGTCAATTTTCAATTCAATGTGTTTAGAGCTATTGTAGTCATCTATTAGGAGATTCTAGCCACTTGAGAGATTGAGTAGAATTTATCATACAGATCGGAGTAAGATGCCAGGAGGAAGAGATGATTGAAGAGCTGAAAAAGAGAAAACGTAAGATTTGCTAGACAAAGTTAGAATAGTATTTGCTTATTCAGCAACCATTGCACTTTTCAAAGAAAAATTATGAGGATGTCTCCGCTCACTTTCACGCCGCAAGAATACTTTTCATTACTTAGTGTCCTTAAAAGGAGAAATTCTAGTCGTTTCCGTAATTTATCTGGTAAAATCTTTAAATTACCTTAGATGTCATCGTTATGAATTTTCGTTTTTTCAGTCATCTTGTGACATCTTGCTCAAGTCTTTGTTTAATCTCTTAAATGGTTCGATTCCTTAACCGGTGCCGACAGCTGCTGCAATCTACAGGAATTGAGTCTAGTTCCCTAATACAGCCAAATAGCTGATGAGCTCAGTTTAGATTTGTCTATAACTCGTTTTCCCACAAACGATTTCATTCCCATCTGATAGCTTTGACTCAAAGCTATAAAAATTTCCGTTACTTTTTCGGCTGTTATTGACAATAATAACTAGAAAACCGTGGCCGTTAAAGTTAACAGTAACTATCAGTCAGTTAACTTCAGAGTAACTGTTTCTTTTATATAATCTGGATTTCTTATAATCATGTATGGAAAACTAAGTTTATAAGAACAATCATGTGGGCTTGACATGGACATACATACATTAACGATGGGCCTGGAAATAAAAAAAAAGACATGGACCATAGGTTATCAACATCACTGATCATCGTGCCGATGTTCATTTTTCGAAAAAGCTTCGTTTTTTCTAGTGAAAATCTATTCTAGATGAGAAATAATTCATTTTCCACTATTCGCACTAAAAAGTAAAAAATTCATGAACTCACTCAAAACTCTTTCAAACTGCTTCGAAAATATCAACATATACTAGATTTCATCTGCGCTACTACATGAACTTCAATAACAATTTTAACAACCAACAGAAAGTACTCTGATTTTTGAAAGGTTTTCCGAAAAGCTTTCGGAATAAGAGAATTATTTTGCATTAATTGCTACAACAGAATATAGTTAAACGGACAAAGTCTACTATATGTGGATATTTTCGAAGTAGTTTAAAAGAGTTTTACGTGAGTTATGAATTTTTTAATTTTCAGTGCAAATAGTGGAAAATGGGTTATTTCGCCTCATCTGAAGACCTTATTCTTTTATGCTTTCATTTGCCATCAGCTCGTCTATCTAATAGTGAAAACCGCATGGCTCTAGCTTTTCCCGTTAAAATGCTATTCATAAATGCCGGTGAGCATTGTTTTTATAAACGAATAGTGATTACTGTGATGTTAACTAACTGACAGTTACCTTTATTTTAATGGTAACTGAAAAGGCAGTTATCGTTAAAGTAACGGTAACTGTCTTTTCAATTAGCATTAAACTGTAACGATAACTAAAACAGTCGTTACCGTTAAATCAACGTAACAGGAACTTTTGCACTCCTACGCTTTGAGAACCTCCCAAGCATGAAACTTTACAAGAAATAAGCTAGTTGCTCTTGCTGCAGAAGCGCCCGCCTCTACATTGATTGCAACTAGCTAAAAGACTAAAATTTAGTGGGAGTAGCTAGATACAGCGGGACAATCCTGCTAGTAGTAGTCGTAGCCGGTATAGATTTACAGAATGAAAAAAATGAAGTAGCACCTGCAGAGATTTGAACTTTGTATATAGAGATGAATAATCTTCTCCATATGCCACTGTAGTATAGGAACACACAACTAAAAGTATATATTCTTTATTCGGTTCTGATTAATATTATTTACCATGAAGGAAGTATCTGTCAGAGGTGAACTTAGAGACAATAATGTAGAAAATAGTTTACAATACTTTTTCCTCTATGAACAATGTTCAAAAACACTTCCTTCATGGTGAAAAAACAAAATGATAAAAGAAATCGCATTATCACCCTGAAGGACACTTTTCGTAAATGTGTGCCAAGACGAACAAATGTTGGGAACTAAATTTTACATTAAATTGTCTCTACAGCTTTGCCAGCTAACGGTCATACTTTTTGAAATTCCGTAACACTCAATGTTTTTCGAATAACTTTTGAACGGTCAAACAGATTGCTTTGAAAATTCTTTTGCGAGTAAATCTTCAAGTTTCCTCTCCATCATAAGTTTTTCAAACGATTTCATTCAACCATTCGAAAGTTATTTCAAAAACATTGAGCGTTATGGAATTTCAAAAAGTATGACCGTTACTGGCCAAGCCGTCTAGGTTTAACTAGCTTCAGATCGTGTTAGCCAATTCATTACTAGCGGAAGCGGTCGCTACAGTGCCCGTTTCATGGTGTCGACGTTTAGGCAAGTCCCTGCAACGAGTGTGGAAACTGGTGCAGCTGGCTACAGCGCCCGCTAACCTGTTTCAATATTTTAGCAATAGTTGCAGCGGATTATGAAGCTAGTGTAGCCAGCTGCAGTGGGCGCTACTAGCTTATTTTTTCATGCTTGGGGTGGAAAGGTAAAATGAAAATTAAACGGCGTTAACGTAACTTCAAAATTTTTGATTTTTCACTCTTCTTCAACAGTGATCTGGTAGTACGAATTTTCCAACTCTTTGCTATGATTTTTACAGATATTTTTCGCTTCAATATTAATTTTTAAAAAATATGCAATGGAAATGGTACATACGGATTGCAATTGTTTGGAATATAAAGTTATTTAGGTATACTCACTCATTTATCATCTCACATATACGATAAGTCGATCTATTGTTTACATACATGTGTACTTACTTAAATGAAATTGTTTTAAATTTGGTAACGATTCAATAAGTTTTTGCCAGCGATTAGCATCTAAATATTCTCGATTTAAACAGTAATGGCTTTTTAGCGATAAACATTTTAGTTTTAAATGATTTTCAAATAAAGTTTGTATGTGATTGAATGATACATCAACCATTCTTAGTTTAAGATGACTTAAATTTGGTAATAACGATGCTATATTGTTCATCATTTTTGTTGTAGTATGGTCTATATTTTTACGTTGTAGTAATTCAACATCCAAATATGCAATTTGAGGTATGTAATTGATTAAGTAAAGTAAATCGTCGAGTGAATAAAGGCAGATCGATAGATATTTTAAATTTAATAATATGGAATGTGGAGGTGTTGTGACGACAGTGTCATAAACAGATAACGAAAGGAAATCGAAATGTATAAGGCATTTGATTAAAGACGTTGGAATATTGTTAAATATTCGATGAATGCAATCAATTTTATACGAATTCTTATTCTCAAGAATTTTAATTGAAAATGTTTCCAAGTGTAGCAAAAACGATAATTTTTCTATGAACGCTTCAATCAAATCATTTGTTCTTGGTTCAATCAATGTTAACGATCGAAGATTGATTAATGACGCAAGATCTATCAGTTTTGAGAATATTGTTGTTTGATTATGAAATGGATCATCAGACAGTATAAGGTGATAAATTTGATGAAGCGATGATGAGGCAGTTAAACGGGGTAATAAACAGAGAACTTTCCGACCAGCACCACCTCTTGTTGCTGATGATAAATCAATGTTAAATCGAATTTGGTTCAGGAGACTGTTCAGTCTCCAATTTAAGTTTAAAAAGCCATTGAATACATCATAGGGTGTCATATAGCACTCAAGTAAATCGAGTAACAATTCATTAGCTAAATCTTCCAAGTACAGCATTTTCCTTTTGGTATGTACTACTAACCTAAACAACCACATAAAATGGAAGCTAGAATAGACATGTTGAGTGAGGAAACTAAATCCTAAGCGATTGGACATATATAGATGAAACCAGATGCTGAATCGTTTTCCGAAACTACGGTGTTTCGAACAAGTGTTGCCTCCAAAAACGATTCATGCGATATCAAAGTAAAGTTTACAGAAGACCATAGGTTTTAAACAATTACGTGCTTTAGGTTATTAAAGCTACATTTTGCAAAAAAAAGTTATAGAAAAACTCAAAAACATCAGATTTCAAACTTGTCGAACGTTTTCAATACTTGAATCTCGAATCCAAGGGAAGCAGGATGACGATCGCTCAATAAACGCAAATAGGAGTCTAGCAAAGTTTAATGATGCAGTTTTTCAAGAACCGTCTGTAAACATCAACTATAAAAACTTTCTGAAGAAAGCCATCTGTGTCAGTCCGCTTTCAGGCTAAGACGCGCAGGCCTGCTTTAATTCAGTACAAGGCATCCTTCCATTTAAAGAGCACTTTATGGTAGAGTGAAGATTTTTTTCATTTTCTCATCGCGATATACTTTTTTCTCGTCACATACTGCAAAGACTGTCTAACAACGAGAAAAGCTGGATTTGTCACCAGATGTCTGAGAAGGCTCTTTGATATAGTGCGTTCTTGGGGTTACGAGCTAAGACGAAAATACATACATCATTTCCTATGAGTCCATGTCTCAATCAGAGCCCTGCAGGTTGGTCATAACCTAACCTATAGGTTAGGTTAGGATTAGGTTGCAGAAGTTATAGGTTAGGTTAGGTTATAGCTTTTTCTTTTTTTCGTCCAATAGTTGTTACTTTTGCACGAATGAAACATTTTTCTCATTTTAACGACGTTTTTGTTCTTATTCTTTATGACTGATTGTCTTATTTGAGACAATAGACTCGAAAATGTTTGGACAATATTTTGTGCCAATTATGCTCGTTTCTGTTATTCTCTCTCTTTCTGCTTCTTCTACTTCCTTTCACTTTTTCTCTATACTTTTACACAAACTTCGTCTAACTTATCTCAAAAATGTCGTCAATGAATAAGCAGGAAATAGAAAGAAGAAAATATTACGTCATAGGCGAAATTTTAGAAAAGTCTAAACGTTCTTTTTCTATTTGTTCGTATTTTTTGTTCTTTCTTTTGGCTTTCTTAGATTCTAACGCGTTTGTATTTCGCAAATACACTTACAAAATTTGGCGGATTGAAAAGAAAAAAACTGTAGAATAGGTTAGGATTAGGTTGCCAAATTTTTTATAGCTTAGGTTATAAGTTGTCAAGAGGTGGCAACCTGCAGGGCTCTGGTCTCAATCAAGAAAACTACTGACAAATATGTTACGAGAATCTTCTTTTAAAAAAACAGAAGACGTGGCAGCTTTGTCCCTCTGACAAGGATTTTAGTTTACACTCGCTTGATCTGTTTCTTACTCACTATTCAAATAGCGGTTTTCTTGTGAAACTGTCAGCTTCCTCTTACCATACAAACATTCCGTAGCTATCCTTAAATTTGACATAAAGTGTTTGAATCGAATCTTACGTTGTCATGTTAGGAAACAAAACAAACCGTTGCCAAGCAGCCACCTTCTACGTTGAGAAAGAATAAAGACATAAAGTTACAATAAGACACATATCGCTTAGCTTTAGATATTAAAGTTAAATGAACTGAAAGTTGCCGTTTATAATTATCAATAATTTCATGATTACGCTAGATGATACCAGAAGCTATTAATAATTGTTGCGTTCAATCAACAGTCACAGGCTGCCGTATTGTTTCTTTAAGACCTCGTAATATGAACAGGTAAGAGGTGTCGACAGATACTTGTGGTCGAAAAAAGTAAACTTTCCCTGTCAAAACAACAATCTAGAAGGGTTACACTTGAACTGGAGGCAAAAGAGTATAGGATCCTTCCGCGCAGGTCCGCCCACTATTACATTCACTATTAGCCGCGAAAATTTCACTTTGCCCATCGTGTAGAGCATCAAAAATAATCTAAAGGTCTCGCTTACGCTGTTCCGAAAAAACGTGTGGAAAGTGGTTTTCTAGACACCTCAAGTTTTTGGTGAGGGTGACCCCAAGTCGGCGAAAATGAACGAAATATTGCATAATTATACATCAAATTGTAGCTCTTGACGCGTTGATTCTAATGGTGAAGGAATTCGATCTCGATCTAACTTTATGTTCGAGTGGTACTCAATTTACTCAAAAAATCCTGAAGTTTGATCTCGATTTTCTCTTAAACGCTCCGAAACTTTTTCGAGACTTTTTGAGGATAGGAACTACTTAATAGAATCTATAACTTTGTTCATACAACTATCCTTGGCACTTTCCATTTTTCACCCTCAGTTTTTCAGAAAACCCGTTAAAACCTTACGTCATGAAAAGAGAATTGAGCTGTTATGACTCTATATTCCTGCTCAGCATGAAGAATTCAATGTACTTCAACGTTTTCTGAGGCTTCTTTGTGTTTCTGTATCGCAGTTTTCTAAGAGGATTTCTGGAAAACTGAGGGTGAAAATGGAAAGTGTCGAGGATAGTTGTATGGACAAAGTTATATTCTTCGTTCTCAGTCAAAGTTATTCTTTCTATGTCCTTACTTTTCTTTATTATTTTTAGTCAGCTGTATGGTACAAGCTGTGACCATATTACATATGCCCTTATCACCTTTTCCTCATAGACCAAATGAAGAAAAAAACTTAAAATAGTTAATGTGAAGTATAATCATCCTTGCTAGGTTTCTCTCTCTCTCTCTGTCTTTTCTGCCTTTTGTATTCTGTCTGTCGTTTGTTCATGACGACTAGTTGGTCGGTAATGACCAATTTGATAAAATAGTAGAGAATGAAAAGGACGAGAAGAAAAAAGTTTGGTCTATTTTTCGTTTCTTTTTCATAAATAAAGGAGATGACTGAGTATGTC